TGCTTTACACCACTGCAGCCAACACTTTGCATTACACTTGGTGATGTAAGGTTTGGATGCAGCTGCTCAGCCATGGAAACTCATTCAATGAAGCTCTCTACGCACTGTTGTTGTGCCAATCTGAAGTCCACACGAAGTTTGGAGGTCTGTAGATATCGACTTTGCAGACAGTTGGAGGGCTCTGCGCACTTCAGCATGCGCTGTCTGCTCTGTCATTTTACGTGGCCTACCACTTCGTGGCCGGCTTGCTGCTGTTCCCAGTTGCTTCCACTTTGTTATAATACCACTAACAGTTGACAGTGGAATATTTAGTAACAAGGAAATTTCACAGGTGGCAACCTATCACGGTACCACGCTTGAGTTCACTGAGCTCCTGAGAGCGACCCATTCTTTCACAAATGTTTGTAGAAGCAGTCTGCATGCCTAGGTGCTTGATTTTATACACCTGTGGCCATGGAGGTGATTGAAACACCTGAATCCAATGATTTGGAGGGGTGTCCTAATACTTTTGACAATATAGTGCATTTCCAAACAGATGCCCGCAGAAAACAGATATATTTCCAATTAATCTTATTTAGATTTTCATTCTCTAAGTTTGCTCCAGTTTAATTTAATTCTGGAAAAAACTAAAAACTTTTTATAGCATACACAGTCCTTAAAACTTAAAATGATCACATTCTTTTTGCTTCAATAAAAAAAAAACCTACACTTAGATCTAGTTGGAATATTAAAAAACAAAATTCAACAGACTGAAATGTGTCAGGCCATCTCATGTTTTGAGTGAAATGACACAAACAAATCAAATGGGCCTGTGAACATAGGTCAGAGCATGCAATCTTCACTTGTACTGGCAACCTAAATTGGAAGTCTACCCAAACAGCTACTCAGGTGACAGATATCTGAGCCATTATGGTGACTAGAAAATAGGTGCCCGTGTGGAAACAGTGTCATTTTATAAAGGGTGCAGGCCATTGATTGTTGTAATTGTGTGTGTGTGTCTCTTACTGCCTGTCTCAGTCTCTGCTTCTCTGTATTTCATTTTGAATATATCATATTGCTAACATTCTGAATAACAACATTTGCAGGAGATTACAGGGAATTATAAGATGTTAAGTTTTAGGTATAGTAGCAATATTTGAAGCACATCTAAATGCATCTGTATGCCATTCTAAACAAATAGACATGGCATGGATTATACTGATAGGACCCCATATCTAAGTTTTTGTTCCACAATCTTGAGAGACAGTCACTGAAAACAAGCAATTTCTGTAGCTCTCAGTGAGACGTCTGCATCTGCCAATAGGTAGTTTGGCTCACTCTTCTTGATCAAACTGTTCCAGCTGCCTCAGGTTTGACGGGCACCTTCTCCAGAATGAGTGTTTCTGCTTTTTCCATAGATGTTAGATAGGATTCACATCAGGACTCAAAAAAGACCATTTCAGAATAGCAAAATGTTTTGTTATTGGCCATTCTTGGGTGCTTTTAGCTGTATATTTTTGGTCATTATCCTGTTGGAGGAACCATGACCTGTGACAGAAAGCTTTCTGGCACTGGACAGTATGCTTCGCTCTAGAATTCCCCAATAGTATTGAGATTTAATTGTGTTTTGCACATTTTCAAGAAACCTTGTGCAGCAAAGCAGCCCCAAAACATAACCAAACTTCCTCCATGTTTCACGGTAGGTACAGTGTCCTTTTCTTTGAAACTTTATTTTTTTGATCTGTAGACAGATCTGACGTGACTTGCCAAAAAGCACCAGTTTTGTCTCATCTGTCCAAAGAACATTCTCTCAGCGTTACAGCTGGTCAATATGGATTTTAGCAAATTCCAGTCAGGCTGTTTTTCCTTTCAACAGTGAAGTCTTCCTTTAAGCCCACTGGCGGTCAAAAAGTGACTGGTGGTATGATCAGACATTGATGTATCTTGGCCTTGATTTTCTACTTGCATCTCTTTGAAGGTTTTCCTTTGTTCTTAGTCTACCATTCACAATATCCTTCTGTTGAATCTGGGGCAGATTTTCCTCCTGTGCCTACATCCAGGGAGGTTGGCTACACTTCTATGGACCGTAAAGTGACATTAAAGTCACAAATATTTTTCTCTCCCCCCATGCTGCTTTAAAGACTTACCTTAAATGATGCCTCTTGATCCAATCACCTTCTTCCTTCCGCTTGTATTCAGCAATCCCTCCAGTGATGGTGCCGGTCTCTGATCCACCGCAGACTCCCATCTCTTCCTGTCCCCCACGCTCACAGCTGCGTGCATTGACTTAGTGAGTCTCTCCTCCTCTCCCCGCTGAAGATCTGTACTATGCATTCGCCCACCACATCATGCTGCTAAGCCACTCGAGAATCTCCAGATCTTCGGATGGGAGCGAGCAGCCGAGACACAGGTAAGTAAGTACCTTTTTGGTAACTTTCTTATTTTATTTTTTTTATGTTATTGCATATCTCTACTGCTTGCTAGCAGTAAATATAGGCAAAGAGAAAAAAAAAAGAGATTATACTTTAAAGTGTATTTCCAATTTTGTAGGTAAATTGGGATAACACCTATATTTGTTACATATTCCCATTTACATCGCAGAAGCTAAATCAAATAATCAAAAATGCTTCTTGCCATTTAGATTTTTTTTCTTGCTAAAAATTCTACATGGCTTCTCCTTTTAGGAGGGTCTGGGAAGGGTTTGTGTTAACCCTGTCCATATTGTGCTGTCTGATGTCATTATAAGTTGTAAAGTAGGTTTGAACCCTGCCTTCCTTAAAGCATTGCATGTTAATGAGAAAAACATTCCACACTTTCCTGTCCTCAGTCTTTCTATAAGGACAGGTCACTGTGAAAGTCCTCACAAAAACTTGTCAGCTGAAACAAAACATCTTAAGATTTAAATAAATATATATATATATTTTTGTTTCTGGTCTGCAGTGTGAATTGGAACACAAATATATAGAGGGGTTTCCTCAAATTTGACAGCAAAAGTGGGAAAGAAAAAACTTTAAAACTTCTTAATATTTGCAACTGTAATCACAGGAACACCATCCTTTGACATGCTAGTCTATATTTAAGCTCTCTTCTTTGCTCCATATTTAGAGTGGTGCACAGCAAACAGAAAAGTGACTACTTTTCTCCATTTAAATAGTCTGACAAGATTACAAAGATTGCAGACAAATGCCATTCTATTACAGGAAACCGTTTGAAATATCACTATGATTCAGTTATTTATAATCTTTTCTATGGGTACAAATAAATCTGTCCAGACCATTTTAGAATATCTTTGTATGCAGATATACATGAGACAATTAATTTAATCACTTTTCATTATTGTTTCAGTAAGTTGTAAGGTTACCAACAAACTTGTCTTTGTCTGTATTATTTGTGAAATCTGGATCATCTGGGCAAAAGGATTTTTTTACAGGCCAAATGCAGTTCAGTGAGTTTTTCACTCCACTATCAGCTCCGAACTCAGGCAAGAAACAGACATTTCTTCTCTTACATGGAAAGAACTAAGATGAGTAAAAACAAACATAGCTACTTGTGAAAGGTAAGTCTGCTCCATTATAACTAAGGCCGCATTTCACACCAAGGCGCCATTGTTTCTGCGCGTTTGTATGCGCAGTTTCAACAGCTTTTTTTGCATTTATGCGTGCACGAAAAGACACGCACATGAGAATGCGCATTTTGACTGGCAGCTTAAGAGACATTGCGGTCAATGGATGAACGCGTGTACAAATGCGCATGAAAATGTGCAACATGCTTCTGTTGCCTGTTTCCTGGTGTCTCCATTTAAATCTATGGGGGAAAACGAGCTGCAAACTGCCGAGAAGCTCATGTACGTTTTTATGCGCTTTGCTGCTCAGGTGTGAACAGGGGCCATAACAAATCACTGGATTTCTTGTGTTGGGCATTTTTAAGCTCTTTTTCTATTGTTCAAAAAAATCTAGGTGTAAACAGGGCCCATTTAAGATGCAAATCACTAAAATCTCATAGCTCTTATTCCCTATAGCATCTTAATTTAATTTTAAATTGTTTTCAAAAATATTCAATCTTTTTAAAAGCTGCAGCGTTTATGCTTTGTGGATCACAAAGCATGAGAGAAAATTGTCATCCCATAACAGAAAATGACAGAGTAAGTATTTTCATGTCAGGATTTTACATGAAAGTAATTGTTCAATAACTTCCTTTTATGGGATGGCAACTGTCTTCTCAATTAAGCTCCTGAGTTCTCAATAGGGAGGAGAGAAAATACTGACATTTTGGTGAAAAACACACGCATGCAGTGGGCTCTAAATATCTACTTAGGTTTAAGAAAGCTCCATTAAACTAGCCTGGACCTGTCTTTTTGAAGAAAGAGGCATTGATCACCTTATCAAGGTTGACATGGTGCTTTCTTCATAAACAAAAATGTTCCTAGTTTTCAACTTGCCACATGCTCCTGAGTGCCATACAAACACACATTGTGCAGGTATGTTCTGCTATTGTCACATCAGTAAGCCCACTCTGAGCAAGTGCATGTGACCAGCGAGTGGCTGCAAAGAGTTTTGAGATCGGCAGTGCTGAGGTGGAAAAGGGGAAGAAAACAGTATTTAAGAAAAAAAACAATAATATGGCGGCAGTTAATAATTCACAGTGCTTTAACAAAGTGAATGTCATGGGGATTTACAAATGCCAGTTCTTGATTCTCAAACTGAGCCTGCAGGAACATTAATATGAAAATTACTTTTGCTATGTTTTTGACAGTACAAGTTTTATGGCCACCATCCTCATCCTGGATGACATGGAACAAATATGTAGGTCAAGTGCTCCAACTTTACTGGTTACATGCTTGTTCCTGGTCACTAAATCAGTAAACAGTGAAGCCATGCTGAGGATAATAGCACCAAAGTATACACCTTCAAGCACAACTCAGCAGCGGCAGCTCATTTACTTTCAACCCGACAACACACTCTTGAGGACTTTCAAAAGCGATAATGGCCAACTCAATAATCTTAAACACAGCAGTAACAGTTCTTTGTAATTCTTGTTTATTTGTCTAGGCCCTTCAACAACTTTAAAAAAATTATTTTTCCACAGAGTCAGCGAACACAATAGGGGGGAAAAAAACAAAAAACAAAAAAGACAGGAGTTTGTGTAATAGCGGCCTAAATTTGCCCTAAAAATACAACTTAAAAAAGTATATATTTATATAAACTTAATAGGGCATAACACAATATTTGTTCACCGACATGGTCTTTTCCTTGGAATTACCTCTAAGAGTAAGAGGCGCTCCAATAGGTGTGAAGTAAAACAAAACATAAGCAGTTGAGAGAACAGTGAGAAATTGCATGTATAATCCAGCAGTTAATGACACAAGAGAAAAAAAAAATCTCTTAAAAAAACTGTACACAGCCAGCTGCATTTGCATGTATGTGGGTCTCTCTTGTTAGTTTCCTGAGGGGTACCACATAACTAGATACTTCTCCAAATAGACCTACAATACAGTTAGCATTGTGAGCCCTTTGGTAGCAGATGGGGAAATTTTGAACACTTAACACCATATTATGCAGCCCACCTTTCAACCATCTTAGAATGATGGTGCTTGCCAACTCTGGAGAACCGTCACTTGCCCGACTAAAACTTGGAAAAGAATAATGAAGGGGTAGACAAACTCTAGATCACAGGCTACAAGTGTCCCAAACACATTCATGAAGCAGCAATTGACCATTTAAAGTCAGCCCCCTTTACTTATACTTCCCTTCTCGAAAACCCAACCAATTTTCAAGGCTCTCTGGGTTTATAACCATTGCAGCTGCCAAAGCTAGCCACATTTAGTCCTTCAACATATTGGAAACAGGCCAGTAAGGGCAGTTATAGAACAGTATAATTGGAACTCAATAATTGACTCCTCTCCCCTGTCCGCCCCTTGGAGGTGCACGCGTAGGTGCTCTATATGTCTTATTGAATGCCTGAGTTGGGGCAACCCAAGCCTGGTTTGCTGTTGCTCCAGTCCCTGACCCCAAATCACTGTAGCTGGGGATTTTGGCCTCTTGGTAAAGATGAGAGCTGTTACTGGTCACCTCTAATTGTCCATGTGTGGGCACTGTGCCAGAGTGCATCCCCAGAGGGACCCTTGTAAACCTGAGGTCTTGATCCCCTGGGAATTGCAGGGATCCTGTTCCCTGGTAACCACTTGTTTCTCCCAGCTGTACTGGAAATGTTCGGCTTTTCCCTATCGGTTGAGGGGACTGTTCCCCAAGTAACTGCCCTGAGTCTCTTTCTTCTGGCACCTCCGAGCTGTAAGTCCTGGAGGGCAGATTTCGGGTAAAGTCTGAACTCAATCCTTGGTTCTCTGTTCCACCCTTCATGGTGGCAGGTTCTACTTCCGGCTGAGTGAAAAGTTGCATTAGGGCAGATGTCGCCACTGTATTTGGGTCAGGAACATGGCTCTTGGAAAGAGGTGGTGGAGGTGGCGGACCAGGTGGCTCTGGTGGTCTCTTTTCTGGTGGCAGGATGCACGGCTGACAAGCAGGAGAAACGTTACTTCCTTTGACTGCATCTTTACAAGAATGTAGAGAAAAAGAGAAAAAGGGAGGGGAAAAAATATTTTTACAGGTGAACTTCACAATATTATACGGATACAGAAGAGTTCAAACAAATGAAGGTTTGTAGCAAATAAACACTATTTCTAATGGTGAAAGGAAGAGTTGGATTGTCCGTATGCTTGAATATGCTGAAGGGTGTATGAAATATAAAACTCCATAGCCTTCCAAACCATTTGTTCTGAGTTTATCTTCAAGGGAATTCCCACCTTAGCATAGAAATTTATATATTGTATTGCATAAATGTATATTGGAATTTTGTTTGTTCTAGTAATAAAAAAAGGAAAAAAACCCACAACTTGAGTCTAGCCCTCTTAAGCATTATGTCTCAAAATCAGAAAAGCTTTGCTTTTTTTTTTTCTTAAGCAAATTGGCCATCTCCTAAACTTGACACTGTATATTATGTTTGTGTCCATCTCACATTATAGCAGACCCATAGTTAGGGGACCAAGGAGATCCTGCTATAGTGTGCAAGTATGTTCAGCATATTTGCACAATATGGCAAACTTGCCCAGCAAAATGCCCTTTTCTCCCACAAAATGTAATCCCAATGTTTCATTGCCGCCATTTTATCCCGGTCTTCTTCCTGGTCTGAAGTCTCCAGACTTCTCTAATGGCCAACCAGGGATGTAATTCCCACCCATGAGCACACTACTTAAGCTTTCCACCTTATACTGACATCACATGTGGCTGTCGGTGTACAATTTTGTAAAATAGCTAGCAGGCAGGGAAGAGATTTTATGCCAAAAGGGACATACAGAGTTCTTTTACCAGATATACCTACCTGAAAGCAATTTTTACTAATGAGCTTTAGTTCTACTTTTAGATCCTTGGGAGTCAGGAGAAGCCATGCTGTGCGAGTGGCCTGCCCCACCACCGACATGCCAGGGAAGAAAACTTGTTATAAGTCATAATCTTTCACATTCTCATATATGCAAATATCATTTTTATGGGGAAAGTGAACATAATTAATTTTATGTTAAAGATTTTTTTTTTTCTGAAAATACCTTGAACCTGCTGAAGGCTATTTTATCACAACCACAATATTTTTTTGTTGTTTGAGTTGGAATACGGGAATGGAATATGGTATACAAAATATAATGGGAATGAAAATTTGTTTTTAACAAGTAGTTCTTTATAAAAAGGAATCTATACAGGAATACTAGGTAATAAACATTTTCCAAACTCTGAAATTATAGACATTTTACTACTACTATTTGTCTCTGTATTTCTACAAAAGGAAAGAAAAACTATTTGTCCTTATTCTATCCAATCTGATTGGCCAGGGGAAAAATTGAATGCGTTGCATAATAAATACAGTGCAGCCTCATCAAGCCTTTTAAATCAATATTTTTAGATAATATTTTATAGTCACCATTATGATGTTTTAGCCTTGTCTTTATCTTTTTTTTTCTGTCTTTGTGCTTTTTATGTTGCCATATATGGCCTTGATCCAAATGCGTCTCAGACTAACGAGATCGTTGAATACGCAAAACCCTATCTACGTTCATTTGTTGAGTGTGTAAATTCTATTAACATGACTTTATGAATTCCTGTTTTTCAATCTTGCCTGATAAAAGGGAGCACTATTGAACACCAGAAATGTCTTGGGACTACTGAATGCAATAAAACATTATCCTGGACTCTATATATCTTGTCAGGCCATTTACTCCACTTGGAAATAACTAGAAAGCACACAGTGGTCCTAGTCTTCTACTTTTCTAAAAAATGATCAGGGCAATCAGGGGTGCCACACCTTTCCAAGCGCAATTTGGTAACCAGAATGAGCGAAGCGCGCTTTCACTATGGATTCCTCACAAGCGGAGTGCATTTGGTATCACTCCGCCTGTGACAGGAGTCGGCGCTATAGAGGAAGCATCGGCTTATGCGGCTCTGCTCCTTGCGCGGCAGCCTCGCTTCCTCTAGCGCTGGCTTCGTTGGCACCACTGATTCTCTCTCGTGGCTCTTTAAGTTCCCCCTTATGCCACCACCAGCCCTGGAAATGGTCACAACTAGGTCTGCTTTTTGGGGTAGGTCTTATATTTTATCAATTCCCAAAAATGGTACTAGGTCTTAATTTCGGGGTAGGTCTTATTTTTGGGGAAACAGGGTATATGTATTTGATGCTGTTGGGGATTTTTCTCTACTTCCTGTCAGGAGAATAAGTGAGGTGAAATCTCTAACAGAGCATCAAATAGTAAAAACCCAACAGGGGATCTAATATTTCCTATAAATATTTCATTCATATATACACGCGTGTTAATGTTTTACAAAACTTGCTTCAATGTATATTTTCGAATCATATCACATAGAAAGGGACATCCATATTTATCCATCACATATGCAGGCTCTGCTTTCTACAGATTAGTTTAGCTTTACTACTCATCACAATGCAAGCTTATGTATCGGACAACTCAAAACAAAGAACTCTGGGTGTGGCAGATATGCCATCTTAACAGTAGTTGACCAAGAATGAGGATGAGAGAAATATAGAACTTCATTTGGCGATTACTCATCAGATCTCTAAATATAATACAACTTAAAAATGGAAGGGCAAGAATTTCAAAACAAACGCATCAAAAATAATGTTGACTCAATGTATGCACACTGAAAATACATCTTTCCCCTTTAACCCCTTGCTGCCAAAAATGCAATGCAAAATAAATGTCAGGCCAAAACCAAAAATTATTTTAACTTTCAAAATTTTTCAAATATTTATTTATTTTTTACTTTACTTTTAGGGGCCTTGGGGAAATATTAGGGGTCTACACAGACCCCTGATATTTACCTTTTAAAATAGAAAGAGAGATTGAGAACACAGAGTCCTCAATCTCTTTTTCTGCAGCCCCTGTTATAAATGAACAGAAATCACCCATGAGTGTTCCTGTTCAATGAGAACATAGTGTATTTACTATAACCACAATCATGAATGAACAGGAAGGGATGTAGATCACTTCCCATTCATTTCATAATGGAGGATATAGTCAACATCCTATATCCTCAATTATTTATAAACCCGATCTCCTTCCTCACACGCTGTCACAGGAGGCTGAGAGGAGCTCAGCCTCCTGTGACAGCGCTGGCTGTCTCTGCCCACACTGCTCTCCTCTGATCTGTGACAGGAGGCTGACCGATGCGAGGTGTAGAGACTGACAGCTCACAGCGCTCTCCTCCGGCAGCGCTCGGCTGCCTGTGACAGTTTCTCTCCTCCCTGCTGGGACACAGAGCAGCGCCCAGCGGGGATGGGAGAAAGAACGGATGCACCGATGTATCGGCCAGAAAATTGCACTTTCGGCATTATGCCAAAAGTGCCATTTTCGGCCGTTATGTTTCGGCAGTGGATATATCGGTGCATTCCTTTTCATTTTCATGGTTTCACAAAAAGGCACAATTTAAAATGTGCAAACATTTGTTATTTAAAAACTTAATAGTTTTATCTTTTAGATTGAGTAAGGAGGGTAGGAATGTTTAAAGTTAATTGTATTTGTGTGCACTACTAAACTTTTTAGTGTATTTTTAGTGAAATTATTGTTTTTTTAATAAACATTTCTGCAATTATGATGGGACCTACTGTATGACTACTAATGATCAGAATAATCAGTAGCACCTTCTTTTTTTTATTCTATTGGTCCTGTGCTTTCAGAAAATTAATGGATTGGGGTTTTTTTTTTACAAACTCTGAAAGCTGTGAGTGAGAAATTCTTTAAAATATGAGGTTAAAACTGGAGGGCAGGGCCTGACAGCGAAAATGTCAAAAAGAACCTGTGAAGGGAAAAGTTAGATAATACACATACCATCTTACCATTCCCCACCTTCCCTAATGCAGGGGGTAACATCCTCCTGTTGAAAGATCCCTGTAAACGCTAAGTAGCCTAAATCTCATGAAAGGATGCTGCAGCACAATGCAGGATCATCTTGTTAAATATGGGCTATTCAATATTCTCAGAGATTTGGCCGAACTGAGGAAGACTTCGCCTTTGCACAGGCCCCACTGTAGGAATCCAGGGAAAGCTAAGCATACCACCTTTATCCAGCGGGACGGCTAAGGATATTTGTGGTGGTTGGGCGGGCACCCTTAATAAGTTGACCTTGTCACTGAGGTCAAATGTATGCTTTACAATATGACGTTTTTAATGGTGTCCTTTAAACTGGAGTTATTTTTATTGAGTCCTGTCCATATGTCATGGACTGCTAAATATTCTATGCAGAAATCTGAATAGTTAGAGGTATTCAAAATTATAAAGTCCCACTTGAAGCCTAACTGAAGTTTCACACTTTTTTTCCTCGTTATAGTCCTGCACGTTATATTTAACTGATTTTTTATTGGAAATGCATAAAGTCCACAACCCTCATCACACAGACTTGTAGTGCAAAAGAAAAAGGAAAGTGTGTTTGACCAAGGCTGCTAGATTACAGACTGTTCAAATGCATAAAGGTCAAGTCTGGTGCCTACTGACTATACTCACATGGTACAGCTTCAATATCAGGAAAGAGGTAGTAATATGAAAATGGAGGCAGTTAGTATAATGTCTACATAACTGAATATTTATTTGAGAGGCGTTAACTGGGCTTCAAATAACTCCTCTCCCTATCTCAGTAACAATCGCCCGCTTTAAGGCTAGTTTACAAATGTGATCGAGAAGGATTTGAGATGCATTTACTGTGTATTTTCTCTGAATTCACACTGACTTGTACAGAGAAAAACATACACTAGCCCTTAAACATATCTGTCTACGATGCAGAGATTTTCAGTTAATTTCAAATTGATATTTTTCCAGCTTAGGATAGCACACAGAGAGGAAGTGAGTCACGTTTTCAGCTAAAGGGGAACTAAGAACCAGTTACACTTGCCACAATCCAATAATCTAGCGATCTAGCAAATTAGATGTCTAAACTTTGCTTGCCAAAGCATACCTCCTTATCCTGTAAGACTCTGTTATTTACCTGTTTAAGGGGCTAGATTTCACACATAAGATGCAAGCTAACATCAAAATTATGTGGCACCCTGCTTTAAAAAGGTTTGTCAAAGGAAATGGCTAGTAAAAACTGGAACACTATATATTCTAGAGCCATGGTGCCCAACCAGAGGTCCTGGGACCACGTGCAGCTTTTTGGCACTTAGTGTGTGGCCCGTTTCTGAATTGGGACATGTGGAATTCCTGTCTCAAGAATCTATAGGTTCCTGCTGCAAGAATCCCAAACTGCAGTTTGAATGTGGCCTTACAGTAGGCTATAAAAACTAAAATGACTACATATTAAGCAAAGCTGTGTTATGTAATGTACCCACAATCAAAACCTTATCCTGGTAAACAGAAGAGCTTCCAGATTCAAGTGAACACAAAATGTTGCTGGCCTCAAGACCATGCTAATGGCAACTCCTGATATCTTTTGTCACACTTGCATCAAGCAATTTTAACATATACCTGGGCAGTAAGTGGGCTTGACTTGCAAATGCATACCAACAACTACACAGTGCTAGGGCCTACCTAAATGAATAGAAATTGAATGCATTTGTAGGTAGGCCCCTTCACTACACAGGGGTGTGGAATTCCTATCGCCCAGGACATGCAGTTTCGGGCGCCGGGCGAGTAGTTTTAAAGTACATTCAGCCCGGCTCCGGACAAGCAGAGCTGAATGTACATTGTAATAGGAAGAACATTAAAGTTAAAGAAAATTTAAAAAAGGTAAAAAAATAAAATAAAGATTTAAAAAATGAAAAAATAAATAAAAATGAAACCCTGCTGCCCCCATCTGCATGCATGGGTGTACTATCTGTCCCCCGTACTGCTGTCCAGCACAGTCCTCCCCTATGCATTTTGAATTTCGCTCGCAAATTGCAAGCACTCATTGGTCAACGTGGTCAGATGACTGCGCTATTTAGCACAGTAAAATATGTTTTGATTAGGGGTGCACCGATACTAGTATCTGTGCCGATACCGTGTATTTGGGCAAGTACTCGTACTCACCCAAATGCTCCGATACCTTCCTCGATATTGGAACTTACGGCCAGATGAAAATTTCCTCTGACTGGCAGTGCCGTAGGGGAACATGGAGCCAGCTTCCCGTGCAATCAGGAAGCCGTGTGGTAAGTAATGACCGGCCTCCTGGTTTTCCGATTGGCCCGGGAAGCCGGCTCCTTGCTGATTGGCTGGAAAGCCGGCTTCCTGGCCAATCAGCATCGAGCAAGTTTCCTGGTCAATCAGGTCATTACTCGCCACCCGGCTTCCCGGCCAATCGCAATCAAGCAGGCCAAACATGGAGCCGACTTCCGTGGCAATCAGGAACCTGGGCGGGATGTCATTACCTGCTGCCTGGTTTCCCGATTACCAGGGAAGCCTGCTCTATGTCAGCGGAAGCACCGGTATTAGTATTCAGTGTCGGCGAGATCCGAAAGCAAAAAAAATCGGTACTCGTACTTGATACCGAAAAACCGGTATTGGTGCATCCTTAGTTTTGATTAAAACTATTTTTTGTATTGGGACAAGTAGATTGTCGTGAAGGACAAGTAGATTTGGCCCCCATTTTAGCCCTTGGACAAGTAGTTTTTAAAAAAAATTCCACACCCTGCTACATGACCGTTGGCATCTCTACAGGCAATTGCACAGCGTGTGGCCAGCTTCAGAGATACAGTGTAAGTTTACAAAAACTGTGGCATCTGTATTACTAAGAGTAAGAGCCCATTTACACCAGGGCGGTTGCGGATCGGCGTGGTTACTGCGCTGATCTCACAAGGGAGTTTTTTTCAGCGTTTCAGCGCTGAAATGCAATTTAAAAACTCCCAAAACCATGCTGATCAGCACGGTTCCATTGAAACCTGTATGGAAACTGCACTGATCAGCGCAGCAAAAATAGTGCAGGGAGCAGTACAGGCGGGGGGCGGGTCGGACTGTGCAGACCCGCGCGCTCGCATGAACAGTCCCCATAGCAATATATGGGATCGTTCATGTCGGCGGATCCGTGCAGCCGAACCACCCCGGTGTGAACGGGGCCTAAAAGTTCTGACTAAACAAGCACATGATTGGACAAGTGAAGGATTATGGGTTACTAAAGTAAATGGAAGGGATTAAATAGAAGTACATGCCAGTGAAAGCAGAAGTACTTCATGTAACAATATGAGGAATAAGGCAAAGGGACAGAAGGAATTTAGAACTGGAAATGTAAGGAAGCGTGCATAAATACTGAAAAATTCATTGCATCATGCCTCCTAAGTGGCAGCTACGCTAACACCTAAGATTTTAATGAGAATGTAGGAAGAGCAAGTAAATGGTGCAAATAACAAGATTACATTTTAATTAGAATTTTTATTATAAAGCAAAAATACAGGAGTGTAAGGTCTTTGCTTTTTTTCCTTCTTGTGCTGCAGAGAGGATCTCGGGGACACTTTTTCAGCACACAGAGGAATCATACAGCAGATTGTTACCCCCTGCGCATTTATAAAGCTCTACCATGTTTGGTTCCCTTACATGTAGTGAGGAAGAGATGGGTGACTGAGGGCGACCACAAATTACCTGCGTCATCCTCCTCCAACACTGTCCCTTTGTCGTTTTCATCGTCGTCATCCTCTTCATTAGGTTTTAGCTGTACAGGAGGATTATTTGCAATCTGCTCTCCATTGCTTTCTCCTGGCGTCTCCGCTGCTTCCTGTGGTTTCATGAGCTGGCTCAATAGGACAGCCAAAACGCTCTGCATATCTCCCTGAGTTCCAAGGCCCTCTGCTTCTGCTTGCTCTGGAGCTGACATTTCTTTAGAGGCATCCACCTCTGATGTCGCAGCTGTAGAGCTGGCTAACTCAGAGATAGACTGGTTAAGGGCTTCCAGTTGTTGTTGTATGTCCGGGTTGCCCTGAACATTCAAAAGCTGAGATATCTGGGTGACATTGAGATCTGTCTGACTTTGGAGAAGATTCAGCAGGATAGCCAGCTCACTTTGATTTAGCTGTTGTGTGATATCCCCCAAAGCAGCTGGAAAAAAAAACAAAGACAGGTGACTAAAGTGTACATGCATTTATCAAAAGACCCCATGGCATTATATAATCAGGTCTTTACCTAGAGCTTTAGTTATCCAGTCATTTACTTGTAACTAAACATGCAGTTTAAGATTTGTGTACACTGTAATTGTTTAGCACCCTGGGTCTGTCCTGCTAACATGCCCTGTATGTCACAGGTGGATATACATGTTCTCAAGGATTCTGTAGTTGCCTTAACCTCTCAGGGATGGGAGAAAAGGCTATACAGCACCACGCAATTGGAACAATTATTAGTCATTGAGAAGTGCTACTGCAGTGGAGTGCTACTCCACTACAGCAGCCAAGGGGTGCCACAATGGAGCTGCACAGTGGCACATACATAGGTGAACTGCAATTGGAATGGTAGGTTTTTTCTCATGTAATTTAAGATGCACTGACATGCCTTTTTAAAAGTGTTGCAAAGAGATTTTCAAGGTCTCCAGTGAACTGCCATCAGCAGGAACCTTACAATTCAACACACAAAACTACAACAGCATTTCTAAGGTGAGTGCAAAATACTGTAAGTAACTTGACAAATCAAATGTAGAGTAAGAGCACAGAAATTACATAGTCAGGTTGAAAAAAAGACACGTCCATCGAGTTCAGCCCTGATTTAATGGGGACACATAGTATGGAACCAATTGTGCCCATTCCTGTGTCACCGCAGCTCAGAGTGTGTACTGAATGTGCACACTCGAGCAATGTCAGTGCCCGTTTCATCTTTCCCTCCCTTAAAAGTAGGGCTGTGGAAATTAACGATTAATCGTAAATTTTTTTGATCGATCAAAATTATTTTGATTGATCAAAGTTCTTTTGATTGACATCGGGAGCCGCGGCCTGACCGTCAGTCAGAAAAGAAAAAAAAAGGCATACGATTGCATAGCTAGATTGCTATTGGCTATTGCACTTTGCAATAGCCAATAGCAAACTAGCTCATGCACCCGCCCACTGCTGCTGTCAATCAGCAGAGGGGGGTACCTGATTTTTTTTCCATCAGGTCCTCTTCTGGTGATTGAAAGCAGTAGGGGGCGGGTGCAATAGCTAGTTTGCTATAGGCTATTGCAAAGTGAAATAGCCAATAGGAATCTAGCTATGCATTCTTATGCTTTTTTTTTATTATTCTGACAACTGCAACTGGCAGAATACTAAAAAAAAAAGTCTGCAGATAGCAAAGAAGCTATTGCTTCCTGTGCGATCTGCCATCATTTCAGGGGGGTGCTCTCTCCCAGCCCCACCTAACCCCCCCTCCGCAGATGGGGGGGAGAGGGCACCTCCCTGAAACAGAGGGACACCTCCCTGAAATTGCTTACTTCAGGTTGGGATCCCTGGCATTGACCTATACACATACAGCACAGCAATTAATTAAGTAATAAAATGAACTAGGATCACACTAATCCAGCACGTTATTATTCTGAGTTGCCCCACTAAAGCGGCGGCCATATTGAGTGGGGCACGTGAGATTAATAATGTGCTGGATTAGTGTGATACTAGTTCATTTTATTACTTCATTGCTGTGCTGTATGTGTATAGGCCAATGTAGTTGGATCTGTATGTGCGTTATAATTAATCGAAATTAATCGATTAAAAAAAATTTCGATTGAACAGGAAAATTTTAATCATTACCAGCCCTACTTAAAAGCTCACAGAAAGTGTTGCACCCCGAGGAATGCCTACTGAGAGTTTTACAAAACAAATCTCCTCAAACTGTCAGATGACTACATCCCGTTACCAACGTATCTTTCGAAACAGGAAGCAGACCAGCAGAACTGCGTATCCTGATGTTAGAAAACAAAAGGGGTCTTGTGGAAGGGCTTTTGTTTGCCTAGAAGATGAATTCAAATGAAAACGTAGATACAACTTAAAGCCCATTTCCACTTTTTAGGCTTCAGGCCTGATAAAAACCTTCATTAAAAAATGAAGAAAGCCTGCAATGGGAGTCATGAAAATGTGCACATGTATACATCACTGCACATCTTTCTTACCACAATACATGCAAAATCACTTACAAAGGTGGAAATGAAACACTTTAAAACACATAAGCAGTGCCTTATGCAACTGAAAAGGCACATCGAAGTACCTGAAAAAAAGCAAACTGAACTGACTTGCTTCTGAGTGTAAATCATGTGTACACAAGCCCTTATGGCACCTTTACAATTTATTTATAAAGTGAAAGTTTTTAGTGTATAAACCTGGGATCTGTTTTACTGAACTATGTTTCTTAACTTTCACTTTATATTATATTTTAAATGCTATTACAGTGTAACATTTAAATTCCCTTTAAGCAACATGGCAGAGCTGTCTGATTTCTTGCAATTTACAAATGCACTTAACTACAAAGGTTATAAATGGCTACTTACACAAGTCAGCTGTAATAGGTTCTGTTTTGATTGGCTGAGAAGGGGCTGGGCTGCTATTTTTGATAGTTTCTGTGCTAACTGCTGCAATGCTTTCTTTTCTTGGAGCTTTGATGGCAGGGGGCTCTTCCACAATACCACTTTGCCGTTGCCTCCTACGTTTCTTGCTCCATAACTCATGGCAGTCCTGCCAGTGGGGTAGGCTATGAGAGAGAATGACAAAGTCAAATCTGGTTCATAATGTGAAAACAGTACCAAACTAAAGCTTAGCTAAATATCAGTCAAGTCAGGAATTAATTTCTATTGGCATTCAAAAAAAGAATTCTACCAAAATTGATATTTTGTTTGAGTGATCACCGACATGTTAAGTCACATGCTGTCTGTTTATATATTTCCGTAATATCCAGTAAAGAGTGCAGTACTGAAAAATATCCCAAAAGAATTCCCAGTTCCACCAAACTGTGGCCACAATTATAAGGTTAAACAATGGTGTCATTGTTATCAATTGTGCAATTTACAATGGGAGGTAAAAGATAAAGACTGCTGCAGGTCCCCAATAGAAATAATACACTCCTGAGTGCCTTTAATGTGCTTATTATTTTGAGAGCTAGTTGTCTATAAAACTACTAAAACTTGCAAAGATGATCGGACTCAGCTAAGAGACATATTTTAGATTCCCTTTTACAGGGTTTTCCCCTCTTATATTTTTATCTGGTGATCTTGCCAGTAACGTGTTCTGCCCTAGAGTGACATAACTCACTGCAAATATCTAAAAATACAAAATTGTCACCCTAGGCTGATCTTCAGATCTAGACTACAAACACCAGTCCTCCATTATATGGAAGGAGGAGTCCTATAGCTCACAGAAGGTACCTGGGAAAGCTAATAACATTGAAGATATTAGTTCAGTGCACAGAAAGGACACTAGAATTCTGTCAGGATCAACAAAGTATTTTCAGTACTTGCAGAAACTATATTTCGCCTTCAAAAAATTTGGATTATTGCTCTTACCGTTAAATCCTTTTAATGGAGTCCATTGAGTGCCAAAGTATTTAATATTCAGGACCCACTGATTATAGTGCTGCCCCAGAGGAGACAAAACAGGCAAAAAAAACAAGGCCTATCCCTAGGCCCATAACCCCTCCTCTGACCATCCTGCTCAGTTATAGCAATATGAAAACACAAGGCACCAGAGGGCAGGATGCTGTGTCACTCAATGGACCCCAGAACGGAATTTTGGAGTAAAAAAAACAACAACAACAATTTTTGCCATCGTCTACTGAATGGCTCAAAATGTCATGTTCATGAATTGCAGGGTTTTCCCAAGCAGTTTTATACAAAAAAACACAAGGGAGTTTGCCTTCCCTATCCAAAGTTCCAGGTGATCCTTTCCGTCCGAAGGAGGAAACATAAAATACTGACCATGTTGGCAGGACTTCCTTTTAAGATTTGGTGATGCGTTTCCTGTTCCTGGGGGAGGGGGGGGGGGGCTTATCTCGTGTGCTGTCCTGGAAAGGCCACTAGAGAAAAACATGGGTGTGCAACCATAGGGCTTACAAATATAAAGTGGGAGTTTCCAAGCTGCCTGAAACCTATATAAAGGCAAACAGACCCATCTACCTAGAAAACACTGTGGAAGTCTGGCTGAAGCAGTCTTATAATGGGGGAGACAGAAGTCTGAAGGCTAAGGCCCAGGGCATACCTACCACCCTGGCAGAGTGAACCCAGACATTAAGTACCATTCCTATAATGAGCATATAATGAGGAGAATGTACCAAAAAAAATAAAAAAGAAGATACCCTTTACCTCAGAGAGGTTATGGAGGACACAACGTCCGCACATTCGAAGGGCAGAACATTTCCTAAGGATCGGAATAACAGGACTCCAGGAAGACAACAATGATACGACATGCCAAGAAGCAGAATACCATCATAAACGAGCCTCCCCATGGACAAAAAGGACAAGGAACAGCACAGAGGATGGTACAGAAGGTCTGCTGAGACCAAGTTAAAAACTCCAGTGAAAGTGCATCAGAACCAAGAACCCCACAAAAAAACAAAAAAAAACAGCCAAGGCAGACAACCAACACCTAGTGTACAAAAGGCCATCAAAAACACCACCCTAAAATAGGCGAAAGAAAAATTGGGAAACTCCTCTACCACAAACAGTGGATATGAGGATTCCTATCACAAATGCAGCTTTAGGTAGAATAAGCAAGGGTGAGGGAGAGTTTTACAATAAGACCAAACCCCAAGAGTGGAGAAGCACCTCAAAGTCTATAAGCCCACAACACCTTTGCACATGCAGCCAACTAGCAGGCCAGCAATCAGGAGAAACAATGGTCCATGTAAAAGAAAGTTTAGCCGGTATGACAGGGGCTACTGAAAATTTGTGAGTGGGGAAGCCAACTAACACACCAAGTCTTGCCGGAATATGCCAGGACATGCAGATCCACCAAAATGCTAGAAGTCTTTGAAGACTGGAATTAGAGAGCAGAGATCTCCTGGATTGGTAAAGAAAAATTCAGAGCAGATCTCACGCTGTCACTTACATCAAACTTCAAAAGCTGACAACACATCCAGCCAACAGAGAAGTTGTAGGTGCATCAGGCTCGAAAAATAATATCCCCCAACACTGGTGGAAAGCCAAGAACAGCTCCCGAAAGGAAACTAAACCCAGGTGCCCACACAGTAAGGGAAGAGAAAAAACAGCAAGAACAGTCCCTGCATCGACAATCTATGCCATGGTCGAAACACAACAATGCCCCACAGCCCCAACTAGGGCAATCACCAGCAGGCTGAACACCATAATGTTTCATTGTCATCTATAAACAGTAATGCAATCCACCAACTAGAAAACATTCAACCAATACCAGTTTTAACAGCCAGTCAGCGATGGAGTCCAGTGAATTCATGAAATGTGAAACAAATTATACAAATACAGATGATTGAAAGCTGTGAAATAAATCCCTATGTTTCAGAGGAAAAGACTTCTGCTGAAAGGTAATTGCCAACAGGTACCTCAGTGGGCTCAGAAGGAGGACTCGGCGATTATCAGACCATACCTGTCACACAGTGGAGCAAAATCACTTATTGTCCAGAGACATAGTGCAGACCAAGGAGCAGGAAGCTAAGTTCCAGGTTTCCCTAGTGGTCACAGGATGACCTGCCTTCTGTCTAATACCAGATACCACTACACAGTTAAAGAAGAAGCAACAGGCCCTCGCACATGCCACACCCACGGTGGGACTGTTTGCCTCTGAACTGACACTGCACGCAGTAGATTGTGATCCAAAGGGTATGCTATGGCACCACTGATGGCCAGACAATGTCAGAGCACAGAGTTATGGAAAAATTATGCTGCTTGAAGATTGCACAGAAAGGAAAAAGGTGCGTATTGAAAGTCACCCCTTCCGGCAAAAGCAATCAACTGCAGACCAGGCAGGGGAACCCAGCCAGATAAATGGCGATCAGATGCCAAACGAGGTGAAACCGATCCCAGTAGTGCCAAACACAGCAACACGACCAGGGAGGGAATCCAGATCTGGCCCACTTACATAGTGAGGTGAGTCTTCACACAGGGTCAGGCAAGGCAGCTGCCCCAACTCTAGACGTGGAAAAAAACTCTAGTGAATTCTCAGATGTTGGCATTACACCTAAATCAGTGTCCTGTGTTTGCAATAAGGCACATCCAAGTATATCTCTGTAGGTACATGGCTGCCGCAAGGCTGTCACAGTTAGAATGCCAATGGTGTAAAACTTAGGGAAACCTGCGCTCAATGACTGACTGGAGAGACTGCCGAGATTTTGCATCTGGCCTACATCTACCACCAGGTGTTGAAGAAATCCTCATGGTCGTCATGAAAAAAATCCTAAAAAGAAAAAAAACGTAGATTGAAAAAAGAAAAAACAAAAAAAACCTAATTGAGAAAACTTTGGGAAAACCTGTCCTTGGCGGCTGACACTAAGCGAAACTGACCAGGAAGGTCAGAGGAGGGGATATGATCCTAGGGGCTGGCCTTAGATTTTGTGCCTAGTGTCCAATCTCCTGTAGATGGCTTTGTAACCCATAGTCCATGAACATAAAATGCTGCGTCAATCAAGGGGCCATAACTAATGCAGCCAAGCACATTCAAGGGCTGGTAAGATGCAATATACTACACTTTCGTCTAGTCCGGAAAATTGTGTGAACCTGCCCTAACAGCTAGCTAAAAGAGTGCACACTGCAGGCTGATGACATTGGTGCTCATTAGGAGTATTGTCAGCCTGTAACAGAAGAGTTTTTACAGGCAGAATCTCCAGGTAAGAATCTGCACAAAAATGTACCATAAGACATCATTTCAAACATGCTTAAAATATAGTTTGGGTTTAAATACACTTTAAAAGGGAATTATTTAAATTAAAAATAATGCAATAAGCACAAATAAGTAAATCAGCCAGCACAACAGTTTTGAAAGCTTAGGGGCCCACAGTGTTTGCTTAAATATATTTACTAGTGGAAAGTGCTGAACAGGTTTGTCTGCAGGTTTGTAGACTTACTCTGGGGGAGGCATCTTGCCGACATCTACATCCTTCAGGAAGTCACTCAGAAGAGCTTGTTCTGCAGTGCAACGCTTGTTAGGGTCCAAGGTTAGCATGTGGTCTAGGAGATCCAAAGCAGGAGTTGGAATGCTGAAAATAAAGCAGATATAAGAATGCAGGTCAAACACATGCTAATGAAATGAATTCCCGAGGGCCTGTTCCGATGGCATCAGTTTGATATCAATTTGAAACACTTTGGAATTCACTGAGAATTCATTGACAGGTGCATTTGATTTGCAGTTGACCTCCTAACCTGCTTTAAGGGGGTTTGACATTCCCATTGACTTGTACTGGAGCACAAAACCCATCAGCAAGCTTTAATGTTGCTGGTGCACTGCAAGTCCCTAGAATGAAGGTTCCTCAAAAATGTACTATGGTATTGCTTTATTTTTTATTTTAGGTTTATCTCAGAAAAGTCGTTTAACAACCTGCGTGATAAGAAAAACACCACAGCAACCACCCTACTGTGCACCACAGGAGTATGTAAGGCTGAAGACACTGGACATAAGGTCAGGAGCAAAAATACAGCCGGGAGGAAGGTGGATGCTACTTGTGTAAAGCTACACAATAAGGATGAAGCATTGATCTATCTTGCATTATTGCACAATACTCATATGCAATTTATGCCAAGGCATGCTACCTGTGTAGCTTACTCAGTAGGAAGCCATTAATTACATTAGTCTATCAAAAGTGGACCTGAATGCAAAAAAATAAGATTTGCTATTTATAATGAACATCTAAAAATTGTAGTTGTGCCTAAGCAGTACCCTAAAATATATGCATCTTCTGTTAAATTTCTCCTAAAAAAAAAAAAAAATACAAGTGTATTTATGTATGTAAGTGTACATAAGCCTTGAGCCTCATTCCTGTATATCAGTAGTGTGAAATCATCACTGTTACCTGTGACTGCTGAAACCTGTGACATAAGATTTAAGGATGCCACTACTGTGCTGCTCACTGTTCTCCTTGCTTAAGCTGTATCTAAGGAACTGCAGTTCAAGCATCTCGGAAAGTTTTGCGACCTGAGTCCCATCTGTGGCAGCGCTCTTCCGGATGTGTTGGGGAGTGGGTTCCAAAACAGCGACAAAGAGAGGAAGTTATTCTGTTGGGGGGAGGGGTTTTCTTTTGGGAAGTTTTTCCTTATAGAAAGTATATGTTGGGGGTTATGGGGTATGCGGAGGGGTGTGCTGCTTTAGTTTGAGTGTGGACCGGGGTGTCCAACTTTGGAAGACAGAGCAGAAAAACAAAAAGGCGAAGTCTAAAGCGCTACTACCCTTGGGAACAGGGTGTGGGGGGGGTTCAGGCCTGGAGGGCTTGAAGAATGGAGGTTTGTGTACCGTCAAATACTCTGTTTGGTGTTAGAGGCGAGAGGGAGAGAGAGGTAACAAATGAGGCATGAGTGATGGTGCCAAGAAAAAAAAAGTGTCTAGTAACTCACCATGGGGTTTGCATGGGTGTGCAGTCATCGACGTCAGGGTCTCTGTGGTGGAGGGTTGATTGCAGTTACTCCTGTGGATTCCTCTGAGTTGAGAGAAGTGTGTGCTGGCTCTGTTGGTTTGCTGAAGGACAGCTGATGGGGTGGTGGTCTCGTCCGCGGGTGCCGGAGGGGTCCCGTCTGGTCCGAGGATGGATGGGGGGGAATGCTGGTTGGTTTCCTTCCCTGTGGAGCGGTGATGTCGGCGGGGTTGCGCGTGCACTTTTTTTTTCTTGGCACCATCACTCATGCCTCATTTGTTACCTCTCTCTCCCTCTCGCCTCTAACACCAAACTGAGTATTTGACGGTACACAAACCTCCATTCTTCAAGCCATCCGGGCCTGAACACCCCCCACGCCCTGTTCCCAAGGGTAGTAGCGCTTTAGACTTCGCCTTTTTGTTTTTCTGCTCAGTTCAAGCATCTCCCTGCTTCTGCTCCATCCTTTTGTAGATCTGTGATTTCTCCATGTTTACTGATATTTCTTGATTACCCCCACCAGTCATCTGCTCATCAGGGGGGACAGCTCTAACATGAAGCAAAGCCCTGCTTTAATACCAAGATGTCCCCCTCCACACAGAGACAGCAGAGAACAAGTCATGGTGAGTCAGCAATAGAGAAAATAGCAGCAGCAGGGAGCTTACAGGCAATACTAGTGCCTGGTCCTCCACATACCTTTTTGGAACATAGCTTCACTCTTAGTAGCAAGAGATTAACCATTTGAAAACCAGGTGTTTACACCCCCCTTCCTGGCCAGGCCATTTTTCAGTATTCAGCGCTGCAGTACTTTGACATTTATTCAGTCATGCAACGCCGTACTGAAACAAATTGCACACCATTCTTTGGGGACAGAGAGCTTCTTTAGGTGGTATTTAATCACCACTGCGGTTTTCTTTTTTACTATATAACAAAAAAGTACCCTAAATTTGGAGAAAAAAAAAACTGTTTCCCTATGAAATGTTATGAAACATTTATTATTACCCAATTTGTTTGGTAAAACATAAGGGACGGGGTAAAATCGGGGTAAATAGACACCAAACAGGTCAAGCTTTAAAATTGCGCGAGCCCGCGAAATCGCAGAAAACGACCACACCCAAAATTGGCCATAGGCGACGCTTTAAAAGCTTTTACCGTTCATCAGTTTAATGTTATCAGGGATTGAAGGCCCTAAAATTATTGCTCTCATTCCGACGTTCGCAGCGATATGTAACATGTGCGGAACAATAGGCGGAATCGTCATTCTCACACTTTGGCGCATCCGACGCATGATTGCGCATTTATATGGGCGGGGACTTTAAAAAAAATTGTTATTTTACATTTTTTTTCCCCATTTGTGACTTTTTTTATGCTTTCATTTTTTTAAAAACTTTTTTTTTTACACTTAACTTTAATGCTATCACATAGGGGACTAAGACATTGCCTATGGGATAGCAAATTCACATAACAGGTCCTCTTTATTGAGACATCACTGGTCTCCAAGACCCCTAATGTCACCTAGGGACCCCCAGAGAAGCTGATGAAGCAGAGATCTGCTTCATCAGCATCTGTAACCGGAGAGTGACACTGAATGCAGGAAGTGATGTAATACACATCACTTCCTGCATTCGGGGACCAGAGAGGAGATCAAATGGAGATCGTGTACTGATCTCCCTTTGATCTCCACGCCGGGCAAAGCGAATCTCGGGACTGGCAGCGGCGGTGACAGAGGCCACACACCTGCAGCTGGTACTAGAGACGCCCAATCGCTTGAAAGTAAACAGCCATTACTGGCTGTTTACATGGCTGACATATTTCCCCACTCGTGTGCGCGCACAAGCGGGGGGAGGGGGGTAGGACGTCTTAAAAAAAACCCTGCCGCTCCTGTAAGGCTCACGAACCGTCATGGCCTGGAGGTGGTTAAAACCGGGAGGTGGTTAAAATCACCTGCGTAGCGCTACTAAAACTGCAAATATCATACTACTGCTACCTAGGTCTTTGGGAACCCATAACCCATGAATTGCCTGCCTTAATCTACCTTCTCTCCATTACGCAGGAAAATGGCCTCAAGATAAATCTACGGGTAATTTCTAAAATTTACTTTTGGTATAATTGCATCTCTGAGGTTCCTAATATTTAAAAAAATACAACAAATTCATGAAAAACACAAAATAGGAAACATTCTTCAACTTACTAACTTGTGGTTGCAAAGCACTGGAATTTCAGGCACTTAATCCTTATATTTATTCAACCTTAAAGCATTTTTTTTTTTTACCAACACAGACTCACTAGGAGAATTCCTCCCGTAACCGCCTTCTATACTGCTTCTTCGGTTTCATGGTGTTGAAATATGGTAATTTGATAACATCTGGCCAAACAGCTGGACAAGGACTTCCACAGAGACGGCTGCAAGTAGAATACACAAAAGCCACAGAGAATATTAAAAATAAAATTAGAAAAAAAAAATGGTACAATGTTTTTTGCATATAAAGACCAAAAGCAGATTACTCTGCGCTTATGACAAAAAGTAAATCTCTAATCAATAACGATCCTAGTGCCCACTTCCACCACCACCGTAGCCCTAAATAGCCCAATTCAACCATCACTGCACTTGGCAAATACAGTGAGTGACAGGATGCAATGGCTTTGTCCACCTGTAATCTATACACAATCTTACAGACAAAATTAAACAGGATCGGTCTGTCCCTAAATAAAATCACATACACTTAGTTTCTCTTAGCACTAAACTTCATAAATGAAAAACAGTTTAAGAATATACCTAATCAATTCTAGTTGGGCCAGCTCCTGGTTAGCCTGGAAAATTGGTTTCTTTGTAAAGAGTTCACCAAGAATACATCTGGAAAGAAAGAAACATTAATATGGTTATTTATGATCTGCTTTTGAAGAAACAAGGTCCTGAAATCTGTTTCAAATGCTTTGCTAAAATTTTAATGCTGAATTTCAAGCAAATATGTGAATATACAGAAGGAATAAATACAGTTTTATAGCACAAGGGCCTTTACTTGGTAAACTAGTTTTTAAATGTCCTAAATATGTTTTGATAAGCCTAGAAAGGAAGAAAAATGCAGTCTTCGTTTAACCCTTTCGCTGCTAAGCCCTCAGGAAAGCTTTTAACCTCAGCTGGCCACACAATTTTTCCCATTGTTTTGATACTTTATTGCTGCGTTGCTAACGTTTGTAAAACACCCCCCAAACCATATATTTTCTAAAAGCATAGGCACGGTAGAATAAAAAGACAGTGCTACTAATTTTGTAGGTCCTACGATAATTGCGCAAATATATTAATATTAAACTGATAAAAATACACAATTCTGTTGATAAAAGCACACTAAAATCAGTATCCGTGCACAAAATATATACTTTTCCAACTTAATCTAACAGATAAAACTGTATTGGGTTAATAACAAATATTTGTAAATTTTGATTTGTGCCTTTTTGCGAAACGGTAAAAAAAATGAACGCAAAACTGTAAATAAGTGACTTGTTAAAAAACGTTTGTGCACTGTGCTGGTGTTGTTATAAAATGATACAGGCGTACAATTAATCACAACACAGCATATCAACGCACGGCAATGCGTCACAACGTTTTGCCATGTGCTGCCACAGTTAAATTAATGTTATTTTAAGAAAGAAAAAATCAAGCACTGCGATGCATTCTAACAACGCACTGCAGCACATGTGCATGGCATAGGGCTGTGTTCTATTTTTTTTTTTTTATTCTGTTGGGGGAGCATCAAGGAAATATAAGGGGTCTTAAACAGACCCCTGGCATTTCCTTTTTAAAATAAAATAAATAAATTAAGAACACAAAGAGTCCTCAACTTCTTTTTCTGCTGCCTGTTCTGAACGAATGTGAAGCCTCTGTACGGAGTCCTTTTCAAACTGTAGATAAATATTTATGTATGGGTATATATAAGCCTCTGTACTCATCTGCTACTGCCCATTAAGAAAGTCATGAATGAACAGTAAGTGTTTTACAACTGGGGACACATAGTACTGTGTCCCCAGTTCTTTACAGAGATCACTCCAGTGTTGGTTCTGCACACAGATGACAGACATTATTTTACAGAGGACCGTCAGGGGAACCGTTCTGGTGTAAGTTCATGGTCGTTAAAGTGACCATGAGGTTATAGCAGAACGGTAGAAGCCACCGCCGTATGGCATACTGACGTGGCCAGCTGCAAGCGGTTGTGTTTTGCCGTATGCCATAAGTCGGTGGCAGCGAAAGGGTTAATGCACAACAATTTTTGCATTATTATTACTATTCCAAACATTTCACTAGTGAACCCCAAGTGTGTGTACAATTTGATGCATACATCAGCGAAGGTCGATAAACAAAGACGTAGTTTAGATCATACAAGCCACATGCCAAAACTGTTAGCATATGGCTGGCGTCCACTGGGTGGACAATGTAAAGCATGATTTACTTTTTCCATTCAGGTCTACACACAGCAGAACGATGTGCTGTGCTGCGGTGGCCTTGGGTGCCATCCAGTGTACTGAGAAACTATTTTTGCACACCACCCAGGGCACATGCAAAACAACTGATGCAAATCACCAAATGGCCCGAGGCAACTGTAACGTACAGTAAGGCCATTGTGAACCTATTTTCTTTTTTTTTTTAAAGGCTGTTGACCTAATAAATAATTAATTATAGGGTGAAAAGTGCTTGCACTTACTTGCGAAATGGCAAAAAAATTATGTCGTACCTGTAAAATATGTTCCTTTGAGTACATCACAAGGACACAGGGAGATGATTCTGGAGCTAGTGGGTTATGCAGCTACCTCCAGGTGGCTGGACACTGGCACATCAAAGCTATAAGGACCGCCCTGTATAACCCTTTCTACTACCAGCCTGCCTCACCGCTGTAGCAAAAAGTGGATCACAGAAAACGGGGATGTACTCCAAGAAATGGATTTTACAGAAAACACAAACAGGACACGGAGATGATTCTAAGCAGTCCAACAGAGGGGCAAGCAAAACAGCAAACGGCTAACAGGCCAATGACAAACCCCAGCAGGGAGCTATAACAAAATGGGCCCACAAGACAGAGGGCTTGAAGGACTGAAGAGCTTTGCGGCTGAAGCTAGCATCTGAAGTGATCTAAACATTCACCTGGTAAAACTGGAAGAAACTGCTAACAGGACAAAAGTTTCAGCCCTGCAGATTCAGGAAATTGAAGTCTGATGCTGGAAGACCCAAGAAGTACCAACGCTCCTAATAGTGGCAGCTCTTACTGGAAAGGGGGAACTTTACCAATGAACCTCACAGCTCTGAGTCACAAATTGCTGAATCTACTTAGCGACAGCGGAACAAGCCAGCTACCCCATATAATGACCGTTAGGTATGAGGAAGAGGGAGTCAGACTTACAGAAAAGCAGAAGTAGCCAGGTAAAAACACTAGTAGACTGAACAAGGTCCAAACTGCAAAGAGAATATATTTTGTATGTTTAACAGCAGGCTATAAGAAAGGTAGGGCAATTGTCCTTGTTAAGGTGGAAGACAGCAACCACCATAGGAATAATAGGAGACCCTAGGCCTCAGCACTACCTTGTCTTTGTGGATAACTAGAAATGGCTCTTTACAAGTCAAGGCTGTCAATTCAGAAATACACCTGGCAGAAGTGATGGCAACAAGGAAGGCCATAGGGATATCTCCGAGGGATTCAAAGGATGACTTCTGCAGCACTGACAGGACTAAGTTGCAGTCCCACGGAGACAACAAAGTGCGTATGGGAGGACAATCTGAGCAACTGCCTGCACAGAGTCCTACACTAGAAAGCGAGAGGCAAACAAACTTTGGAAAAGGCTTACCAAGGCAGAAATTTGACCCTTAATAGTACACAAGGCTAAACGCTGGTCTAGGCCATAGAGAAAGAAAGATAAGAAGCGTCCCACAGAGCACCTACTGGGAAGAAATGTCTTTGCTTTGACCTTGCTTGATTTGATAAACATTTGTGCAATTATCGCAGGACCTAAAAAATTAGTAGTACCGTCTTTTTATTCTACCGGGCCTGTGTCTTCAGAAAATAAATGGTTTGAAGGGTCTTTTACAAACTCTAAAAGCTGCAGTTGAAAATACATTAAACAAAAAGGTGAAAAATTGCAAAAAGGGTCTGGCCAGCTGAGGTTAAAAGTGTTGGAGGGCTTGGCAGCGAAGGGTTAAAGCAAGCGACCTAGAAGCAGTATTCGAAGGGTAGGCACAGATCAGAATGAACTAATCTCACGGAGTGAACAAGGCATCTACAGTGAAAAAACATGGATCCCTAGCCTTTACCTAACTGTGGTTGCAGCCTCTACTTAAGGAAATTAAGGACCCATCCAAAGCTCTGCAGGGTGTGTATCTTCTGATGAATGCTGGATAAGGCTTGCACCAACTGTTCTGAGATAAAGGTTGTCCACGTAGTTCACTATGGGGGATCTCCTGAGGCTGAATGAGGGCAAAAACAGGGGCTAGAATCTAGGGAGATGAGGAGCAGTGGACATGCTTTATGGAAGGGCAGCAAAGTCGTAGTTTGTGTGTCCACAGCGATAGAGGTAGCGCTGATAGGCAGGAAAAATGGGATTGTGCAAATATGTATCCTTGTTGTTCTCCAATGATACAAAAGTGAATGACAATGTGGGTAGATATCATACAGAAATTTTGGACTCCTAGGAACCAATTGAGGATCTTCAGATTGAGAATAGGGCAGACCAGCTCAGCGTGTGCCAAGAAAAGGTAAAATGGCAGGCACATGAGCAGTACAATACCCCAGAGTGAGGGTAATGACACCATATTTGAAAGGAAAGGGGCAGCCCATGGGAGATGGGGATGCTACACAAAGCACCTCCAGCAGAGACTAGCCCTGGATTACCTGACCCTCACCTTACCAGCAGTGCGGTCATTTATAGGGGACATAGTCCATCTAAACTTTGCTCTCCCAGTGGGCACATGCCCAGAATGTGGTCTTCATCGATATGGACCGATATGGTGTGTGTGAAAATAAAATGATTTCTTTAAAAACAGTAAAGATTTTTCCTATTTACTATAACCACAAAGGGACTGATAAGCTTCTATGTGCCTGGTGCCCAACCTGCAGCACCAGACACATAGAAGCTCATCAGTCCCCTTCTCCGGGTGTCCCATGTGGCCTTCAGAGCTCCAGAAGACCGTAGTCTCTGTTTTGGTGATTACTTTAGCCAGTGAAGGAAAAAGATTATTTAGTCTGCCTTCTAGTAGTTAAACAGTTTGGTCCATTTCTTTGGCACTAGTATATCTTACAGAGAAAAATATTAATTATGACTCAAGTAACTTAAGTGGGCTGTTGGAAGCACAAAAGTGGAATAATTTTCTTGTATAGGGGCTGTAAATAGCAGGGATATCTAGCAGTCCCATGTAACATCTCTCCAGCATTACATTTACAAAAATCATGTGTGGGCCTTTGGTGATGTAAAGGGCCACACAGGGTGGTCAACAAAGAAAGTTGACCACCCTTGTTCTATTCATTTGTAACAACAGTGATATCTCACAGTCTTGTGTAATGTGTCTGCAGTCTATAGCCGTCTCCTTAGGCATGACCCCATTCTCCAACTCTCATAGACTGCAGACATGCTGACAGCTATTTGTAACATTCGCTGAATATTATGTGCGACTCTTCGGTGATGTCAGCGGCCGCACTTTATCAACTAGGTTGACCACCCCTGCTCTATGTGACAGTGGTGAAAAGTACTCCTTATGGAGATGTCAGGGGTCAAGTAGACCAGTGATGTTTTCCTGCCACTAGTCCAAGCAGATCTGCTTTTGCATCCTTGCAGCTGTACTGGGATTGACAGCTACTGAGAGCTGTGCAATGTTGGGTTCAATGTCAAGGAAGGATTTGCTCAGTAAACACTCCGTGTGGTTACTAATGAAATCTTCCAGCCCCCCTACAACAGTCTGCAGCTTCCTCTTGGAGATCAAAATGTTCTCCAGAGTGTGCTGCAGGTGTAAACACTGGACTTTAATTAAAGCGGACCTTTGCCCACTTTCACTAAAAATCACATCACATTCAGCTCTGCATGGTGATATGAAATCACCTTACATTCATTAAACATTTTTATTTTACATACAGTTACATACAGTTTTTCTACTTCCTGGTCCTCTTTGGCACAAGTTATTTAATCGTGCCCAAGCTTTGCATCCTGGGAAGGTTACATCAGCAGAGCATTGCTGGGAAATCTCATCTGTAATCTCATGAGATCTCAAGGAAAGGCATTTTCCTCAACTGAGATGATGTGCATGGTCACATGCCCTAGTCACATGTGCCAGAGTTCCAGGAAGTAAAGGGAGATATAGCAATCTGCCCTTAGTAAAAATGGCCACTGTGAGAAGAATGAGGAAGAAAAAATAAAAAGGTTTACAAAGAATAAAAAGCCAGCAATTATCTAGAAGTATCTGATTGTAGATTGCCATTACTAAACATTTCTAAAGGTGTATTTGTTGTCATTTAAAAAATATGGGTAAAGTGTCTCTTTAAGGCCCTCCTCCTATCACAGGGAACTTGCTGGGAGGACGTTATTTTACAGTGGGGGGCAAGGAAGGGGTTTAACATTTTTTTGACAATCCACTGCAACGTTTCTTACCTGGAGATCCTGCCAGTAACAGACATTCCTGTTGCAGACTGACAATGTTAAGCTATTGCCTCATAATCAGCATCAGTTGTCAGCCTGTTGTGTACATTACTTTCTTTCAGATGGCCTTTGGGCTGCCTAACAGGTTTCTTACATACGCAGCCCAATGGCCAGCTGAAAGTCCCTGCACAGCACGAAGTGTTACTCTAGGTAAGAAACAATAGATTTACAAAACGAATTTGCTAAAGAAATCCGATTTAGGGTTTAAAAACTACACTTCGAAAAGTTGCTTCCAAGGTTTCTCATAATTTGATAATGTATTGAAACCTCATTTGCTGAGTCCAATGAAGCTTATATAGTTCTACCTCTCGGTAGTGCTGGACAAAGAAATTCCCACTCATTTTGTAAAGAATGTTGTAGGGTTAGATACCCTTTCATATTTTCTGCCATCTGTGTTTCCAAAGTGGGAAAAACTTTCTACCAAGCAAACATTCACAAAATGTTATGTCAACTTACCCACAACTCCACACATCTATGGCGGGGGTGTACCTTTCCTCCCCTAATAGCAGCTCTGGGGGTCGATACCACAGTGTTATCACCTTATTTGTGTATGGGCGACTGCAAAAACAAACAAAAAAAAGGGTAAAAAATTAGACATTCAAGATTGTCTCCAGTAAGTAAAATTGGTTATGATTTTTTTTTCCTATTAGCCAATAACAATCAGGAAAGGAGTGATAATGTCATTGTATCTGAGCAGACAGCACAAACATAATGCGTCTAAAGATTAACATGAGTTTTATAGAGTTTACAGTCTATTAGATGCGAGGACACCAAAGGACATACCACAACCAGAGCGTCATTCAGCTGTCATTTCCGGCTACAGAAGCTGGAGAGAAGCTGATGAAGCAGATCTGTGCTTCGTTAGTTTCTTTGGGGGTCTTAGAGACCCCTGATGTCTCCATACAAAAGGACCCGTCACTATAATTTGATATCACATAGGGGGCTTCTTAGCCCCTTTGTGGTAACAAAGTGTAAAAAAAAAAAAAAATATGCCACAATTTTATTTAACCCCCCAGCCCTCACATACAGACGCAAATATGCGTCGGGTGAGCCTAAGTGTGAAGACAACGATTGCGCCCATTACGCCGCACGTTACATATAACAGCCAGCGATAATTTTAGAACCATCAATCACTGATGACACTAAAATGATGAGCGGCAAAAGCCTATTGCCAATTTTGGATAGGGTTGTTTTTTGAGGCTTGACGTGCTTCCGGTCTATTTAACTGATGTGACCCTCTCTTTTATATTTTACCGAAAAATTGGGTAATAAATGTTTCATAACATAATGTAGGAAAAAGGCTTTTTTTTTTTTTAACCTTCTGAACTTTTTTTTCGCTATATATTAAAAAATTAAACCCCCCAGTGGTGATTAAATACCACCAAAAGAAAGCTCGATCTGTCCCCAAAAATTATATAAAACTAATTTCAGTACAGCGTTGCATGACGGAAAAAATATGTCAGTCAAAGTACCACAGCGCTTAACACTGAAAAATGGCCTGGATGGGAAGGGGGTTTAAAAGCCCGGTCACCAAGTGGTTTAAGTCTTTCACCATATTAGAATGTTTCTTTTGTCACATTCAGATAGGGTATTACATTTTGTTCCCGTCCATTTTCTAAAGTATCTTCTGATTTATGTAAAAAAAAAAGGTGATTGTCTATATCTTATTGTATATCTTTATTTATGCACGGCATTAAAGATGCTTTTTCCAATTAAAATGCCGACTTTGTTCAGGGCATATAGACTACCTGGTACATAGAATCCGGGCAAGCCAGTACAGTAAAGCATAGCTTTAGCTAATAAAATGTACATTTTATGGACTGCCCGCCTACACATAAACATTAAAGATGTAGAATGTTGAGTCAATATATTTTGGTCTTGAAATCTTGGCACAGGATTTTTACACTTTCAGAGACCAAACAATTAAGTGTAGGGCTGCAACTAATAATTATTCTCATAATCGATTATGAGCGATTAGTTGGCTGCAGCCCTAATTAAGTGTACACTACTTTAGTGTAAGAGATTGCATTCAGGGTTAGGCAGAAGTTGAAGGTTAGGGACCCCGTCACTAACTTGCAAAAAATATTCAGGTAATAGAACAGAAATATCAAGAATTTTAAACATTTGCAGTGTGTTCTCCTTTCATAATTTGTTTTATATTTGGTTACAACGCTCCTTTGAATTTGCTAGAAAATGTGTCTACCCCAGAAATAGTTAATTGCTTAGCACAGTCCCCTCCCTTATTACAGGTTGTAGTCCTCTCTGGGAGTGTCCAACATCCAAGATGTCAGCATCCTGCAGAAGTTTCAGGACTTTTGGATGTCTACACAAGGGAGGATTTTACAGGCGAATAACAAGTATAAAATAGGTTAAATGCACATATTTTATGGCAAGTTTTGTTGAAACGACTGTCTCTTTAAAGTGCATGTCCAGAGAACTTTTTTTTCCACAAGTTTTGTATAAAATGGGGAAGGATTAGATCCCTTGTTGAATTTTTACTGATGTCTGGGGTTCCTTTGGAGGAACTCTAACTCAATGTCTCCAAACAGATTCCCCTAGCATTTTTATTTTTGTCCATGTTGCTTTGATGAATATACTATCACTTCCTATCTGGGGAAACCATTATCATTGGGACAGTGAATGAGGGGAAAATCTCTCCATCAAAGCTTTATAATCCTTCTCCACTCTATTCAAACCTTTGGCTGGACATATACTTAGTCTTAAGTTCTAGGGGGTATTTTAATGTTTATCGACAGGCTAAGTGTTACATATACACCCAAACCTTTATATTTTGGTCAGATTGATGGGTGGGTATGTACCATTTGGTGCTTTCCTTCATATACTTTATTAACTCTTCATAATTTAGAACTTTCCTACTGCTACTCCCTGGTTCTGCTTCTGTGCAGGCTGACACTGAGGCAGAGGCATTCCACATTCTCTGCGCTGCAGCACCTCTCAGCTTCCTGCTCAGCCTGGGAGTTGCACGCAGAGACTGACAGCAGTAGAGGAAAAGCCATGGCTTGGCACAGGGAAAGCATTTGGTGCAGGTGCACAAAATAAAGAACTGCCAGCTTTGGAAATACTTGGAGAACACTGATAGTTGTCAAATCACAGCCTGGTAGTTGAGAAGCACTGCTCAACATGCTTAAATATTTAAAGCCTAATGCCGAGAACCAAAAGAGAAAACCAAACACATGTAAAATTATAGTTGAGACACAAAGCTGTTTTGCAATAGCAAAAAGCAAATACAGAAAGTGTAATTGAAGCTAAATCCTGTGATGCCAACATTCCATTCATGGTGCATAAAGCAAAATGTTGTATGTCCAAAAAAAAAGCCTAGAGCCAACTTTGCCCACTCCACACAGGCTTAATTCTTCACAAGAACAGGCCGCCAACCAACTTCCACCAGGAAAGTCTCCAGCATATGTAAAAGAAAGAATAACTCAAGGACAGCTTGAGTCTTCGTGACGTATGTTTGTTTATTAACATGAATAAATACAACCCCAACTCCCAAAAAGTTCGGATGCAGTGTAAAATCTACATAAAAACAGAATGCAATGATTTGCAACATCTCATAAACCCATATTTTATTCACAATAAAAAACAGAAAACATATTCACTGTTTAGAAATTGACCATTTTAAGAAAAAATAAAGTAATTTTGAAATTGATGGCAGCAACATATCTAAAAAAAAGGTTGGGACAGGGTCATATTTACCACAGTGTAGCATCCCCTCTTCTTTTAACAACACTCTGTAATGTCTGGGAACTGAGACCAGTTGGTGGAGTTTTGGGAGAGGAATGTTGTCTCATTCTTGCCTGATATAGGATTCCAACTGCACAACAGTCCTGGGTCTTCTTTGTCATATTATTAATTTCAAGATGTGCCAAATATTTAGAACTGGTGAAAGGTCTGGACTGCAGGCAGGCCAGTTAAGCACCTGGACTCTTCTACTACAAAGCCATGCGGTTGTCATAGATGCAGTATGAGATTTAGCATTGTCTTGCTGAAATATGTAGGGCTGCAACTATCTATTATTTTCATAAATCAATAAGTTGGCCGATTATTTTTCCAATTCTTCCATTAATCGAATAAAAAAAATAATTCCATCAAATACACAAATGGAGTTATAAACAAAGTTTACTCCAGAATAAATCGGTATGCATATTTTTTGCACTCGCACCAGAACGCATGTCATTGCAATACCACGCATACAGGCGATCCCACTGCGGCCAAGGGGCATTAATTGAAATTAATGGCACCACAAATAGTTGGCGACTTCTGCGCACTTCAGCATGCGCTGACCCCGCTCTGTAATTTTACATGGCCTACCACTTCGTGGCTGAGTTGCTGTTCCCAGTTGCTTCCACTTTGTTTTAATACCACTAACAGTTGGCCATGGAATATTTACTAGCAAGGAAATTTCACGGATGGACTTACTGCACAGGTGGCAACCTATCACGGTACCACGCTTGTAGTCACTGAGCTCCTGAAAGCGACCCATTCTTTCACCAGTGTTTGTAGAAGCGTCTGCATGCCTAGGTGCTTGATTTTATACACCTGTGGCCATGGAGGTGATTGTAACACCTGAATCCAATGATTTGGAGGGGCATCCCAATAGAGATATATATATCTATCTATAGATAGATATATACATGTATATATATCTATATCTATCTATACAGATCTAGATCTATCTATACAGATCTAGATCTATCTATACAGATCTATATCTATCTATACAGATATAGATAGATAGATTTTTTTTTTATTATAAAAGCACGGTCATCAGTTTAGCGTTAAGGTGCCCACACACCTTGCGATAATCGTACAATAATCGCGGGAAATAACGCGATCGGGCGATTATCGCAAGGTGTGTGGAAGGCGTTGCGACCGTTTCTACTGTATGGTCGCAAGACTTTATCTCAGGAACATGTTCGAAAACCCGCTGAGAATCGTACGATTGTCGCCGGGTGTGTGGCATGTTCGCAAGATAAATGCCGCACGGGCCTGTGTGCGCAAGGGCACACTGCCCGTTCAACATTGCGGTCATCTGAAGCCCGCCCCTCAGAGGGGCGGGCTTGCGAATAACGCAAGTACCATCTGCCTGGGCAGATCGTACGTTTTTTTTAATAACCTTACAACAGTTGTAAGGTATGTGGCCAGCTTTAGCCACTTCGACAATTTTTAGATGTAGCTTTTCAGATTGGTGAACCTCTGCCCATCTTTACATCCGAGACACACTGACTCTCTAAAGGTGCTCATATACCTTACGATTATCGTACGATAATCGTATGCGATCGACTTTTTGTGCGACAATCGTAAGGTGTATGGGTAGTGTGCAACCGCCAGTACTGTACAATCATACGACTCTTGTCTTTCCTGCATGTTCGGAAACTTCAGTCGATCGCACGATTTTCGCGGTCGATTACCGCAATTCGTCCAGGTGTTTTTTTAACAACCGCTGATTGAACCTTGTGATAAATCGGGGCAGGATGGGGCCGCCGTACGACAATTATACGACGTACAATAATTGTAAGGTGTATGGGCACCTTAAGATAATCTTTTTATACTCAATCATGTTACTGACCTGTTGCTAATTAACCTAATTAGTTGCAAAATGTTCTTCCAGCTCTTCCTTGTTAGTACCACTTACTTTGCCAGCTTTTTGAGAAATGTTGCTGGCATCAATTTCAAAATTACCTCATTTATTTTCTTAAAATGGTATATTTTCTCAGTTTAAACATTTCATATGTTTTCTATTTCCTATTGTGAATAAAATATGGGTTTATGAGATTTGCAAATCCTTGCATTCTGTTTCATGTCGATTTTACAGTGTCCCAACTTTTTTGGAATTGGGGTTGTAATGATAAAATGCTACTCACATCTCCATATCGCAAATAGTCCTCACATCACAGAGAATATAAGGTCTCATTTTCTAAAGGAAGGGGGCAAATCCCTGAAACACGTTAGAAAGGCCCATAGCTGGCAGGCTCAGCTCCATAAAATTTAGCTGTGGGTGTTCACCAGGCAAGACTATCTGTGGTATAGAGATGGATTTGTTTTACATGTCTGACTCATCTAGCCTTGTGAGTAGCATTTTATTTATTCATATTAATAAACGTAATTCACAAAGACAAGGCGCCGTCCTTGTGTTATTCTTTCTTTTGCATATGATGCATGAAGCAGCCTAGTGTTAATGTCCATGGTATCAAAGTATCATGAAAACTGTCATGCAGCAGAATAGAGGGCCAGAGAGACAAATTAAATGGATTGGAAAAGCACAACAACCCTATACACCTGCAGGAAACACACACACAGATTTGAACAATGATTAGGGTCTAGAGTAAAGCATTACTATTTCTGTACAAACAACCTCAAGGTATTACACCAAAATAGCTTGAGATCTGATATGAAACAACAAAACCTATACAATCAGAGTAATCACAAGTTTACAATTACCTTTCCTCTGAGTTGTATAATCTTGCCAATCCAAAATCTGCCAGCTTGATCTGCCCACTGTAAAAAGAGCACAATGTGAGTTTTTTGCCTCTACAAAACATAATTTGTGTGAAAAATTATCCGTTATGGTTTGTCACCTGTTATTCAGCAGGATGTTGGAACACTTGATGTCTCTGTGCAGGAAATTCTTCTTGTGACAGTAATCTAGTCCTTCCATAAGTTGTTTCATAAATGACTTAATGTGGTTTTCTGAAAACTGCACAAGCCCAGACTCCAGAAGCCCCATCAGGTCGTGGTCCATATATTCAAACACCAAGTAAAAGGCACCTAATACACAGAAACAGTCAGTGTTACAAGACACCCTGAGCAGATCATGATAAGCCACATGAGGCTAAAGATTCTTCAGAGAAGTCACCTTTGTCTTTCTTAAAGTCCAGTGCATCCTGCTTGTCAGTGACAATCTCCTTCATATTGACAACACTGCGATGGATAAGCTGGCGAAGGATTTTTATTTCACGGATAGCAGTAATAGGGAAGCCCTCTTTCTCGTTATCTAGACGTACTTTCTTTAAGGCCACAAGTTCTCCTGGCAGATTATCATAAAAAAATTAAGTTAGTCTTTCCTGTCTTCAGTCTGTTAAAGTGACATTAAACCCTCAGATTTTTTTAACATAAAACAATAGTGTAATGTGTGCCTTACTGTAATCCAGGGTAGTTTCCCTTCTCTTTGCTGCTCTTCCTTTTAAATCTGTATCTGTTCTCATGCTGGGCAGAACTTCTGTTTTGCAGCAGACTGCCTTGTCTGAGGAATGGATACACGGTGTCTGTGTGTAGGTTTGCAACCTGAGCCAGCACTACAGGAAGAGGCACTCAGCTGCAAAGGGAAGTTCTCCCCAAGCATGAGAAGACATGAGGATTTAAAAGGAAGAGCAGCAAAGAGAAGGGAAACTACCCTGGATTACAGTAAGGCACACATTACAGTAAGGCACACATTACAGTAATGGCTTATGTTAAAAAATCTGAGGGTTTAATGTCACTTTAAGTACAGCAACTACTAAAACCAATAACAATATGCGGCAATGACAAAAAAGAACAAAGTGTTCACTCTTTAAAAATGGTAAATAATGCACCTTACAACTTGTAATTTAAAGCTGAACTCTGGGATAACCAAATATTGTTTAAATAGAAGAGGCATGTGTATCTTTACTTAACCTTGGTGTGTTTTGTGTATTTCTTCTCGATCTGTGCAGTAATCCAGCAAGAAACTTTGCCGCTGTGCAGGAGTTTCCTGTAATAAAGACTGATCACTTCTGCTCTCTTTCCTTGTGCAAGGTGACTGGACTGGTCTCCGCCCCACCTCCCCCCCCAGAGTTCAGCGTTAAGCTTATTAGAAATACTTTAGTTTGCACAAAAACACAACAAGGGGTATGCAAAGGTCCCAACCATATTTCGTTGACAAATGGCATACATTTTCATTATAGACAACTGGTACCTCAGTCAACATTCAATGTGTTGCGAGTGGTATGCTGTCTAAAATGTATGGCTGGAGGTGTGTAGTGTAAGTGCTAGAGTTTGTTCGTGTGGTTGTCTATCAACCTCAGGTCTCTGCAAATGCCTGCCCCTGTAATGCTCGACTTATCAATTATTGTTCATGTATGTATGCGTAGGCATGGTAGGATGTTCATATACGAACTCTGTAGTCAAATATGAACAGACAGTGGAGGGCGGAAGATAGGGCGGGTTGAGGATTAGGGGAGATGAAGAACCCTTATGGAGTCTTCCATATATCTTGTTTTTGTAGGACTGATAATAACCAAGGTCCATCAATACCATCAATGTTAAAGCTATAAGTTTCCCCATTCTTTACACCTTTCTCTTAAAGGAGAATTATGGGGAGAGTGAAATACACGCATCCCAATAGTTAAATCCAATGCGACACCGCAGCCGTCACACATTGGCTCTATAGATCGAGAACTAAGTGATCACAAACTGTTGATTGCTCAGTTCATGATCTTCTCCCTGTAGAGAGAGGTGAATGTCAGTCATTCCTCCCAGCAGGGATTGCCCCACCACTCTGTTCCTCCAGCGCTGACTTGAGGGACAGATAGGGGAAAGGGCGGGCACAGCTGCCTCTGGTTCTAGACAGGCAGTTTCAGCTGTCAATCAGGTGGCAGGGTGGATCCTGACAATATTGTTAAGATCTTTCCCAGATACAGCGCGGCTCTGCCCCGTCAGCATATACAGCCTGCTATATTCAGAGTTTTCTGTTGGAATACCATCCATGCGTACCAACTATTGCTGATTTGTGTAAGCCTATTCTGTTTTCAGTGTAGAGTTGATTCCATTTGATGGATGTAGACTACATAGTCTATACATTTGTTCAGTGTCAGAACAGTTTCTGACCTCCAGTGGAGAGGGATTATGATGTTAATAAGTAGGCATGCCCCAATGCCACTTTTTTAAGATCAAGTACAACTACAAGTACTTTCCCTCAGGTACTTGCCGATACCTTTTCTTAAAGGGATATGTGATCAATAGATGTCCTGTATATACAGGCGGGTGCTCGTATTTTGAATGGCATTTGTCATTAAGATGGACTTTTGCTGAAATCCTTCGATTGGTGTGCTGGTGATATCCCTTCATCCATTTTTTCTAAAACAACACAGACTGATGATTTTAAGGAAGTTTCTCACCAGGGCTAAATACAGATGTCACCAGAACTGAATACATGTCCCCAAGGCAGAACACATGTCCCCAAAGCAGAACACATGTCCCCAAGGCAGACTAGTATTCTGCCCGTGAGGCTGTCCATGGCTGGCCTGCGCCGGGAAGGAGGAGGAGATAAAATTGAATACTGAAAAATGGCCTGGATGGGAAGGGGGTTTAACACCGCGGATGTCAACTGGTTAAAAATGTACCAGTATCTGCCTTAAGAATCAGGGCATTTTCACAAGTACTTGTGAAAATGCCTGGTATCGGCCCCGATACCGATACTAGTATCGGTATCTGGACATCCCCATTAATAAAGTATCATAAGAGGGTTTTTGTGGAGTGTATTGCAAGGCGGTTCTCAGTGTATAGAAGATAAGTTGTGGGTGTGCAGGCATGGAGCAACCAGTCTGGGTCATCAAAGTTACATAGTATTTGAGGTTGAATAAAGACATAAGTCCATCAAGTCCATGTAGCTGGAGATGTAGCTTTGTCCAGTATTTTCGTATTTCTGGGCAAAACCAGAAAATGTGTGTCAAAGATTTTTGCTGCATCTCAAATAGGAGAAGGATATTTGTGGATTGGTCCTATGCAGAGGTACAGGAGTTCCATAGAATTTTGTATATAAAGCTTCTGATCTAACAAATGTATTCTACTCCTTTTGAAGGGCTTTATTTTATTAAAATAACAGAACTGCTAAGCATGCATTTAAAATGGCTATATATATCTATAGATATAGATCTATATCTACGGATATAGATCTATATTTATAGATCTATATAAAACCAAGGCCAGAATCTTTTTCATCTTGATTGATGAAGCTGCTGCATTTAGGTGTACAACTCAATGACAGGATGCAACTACACTCCCACCTCAGCTTGCACATCCGTACAGGTACAGAACCATGCCCTTGGATGCAAGCTGTCTTCGTCCAAGGGCGTGCATCTGTACCTGTTTGGGTGTGCAAACTGGGGTCAACGTGTAGCCGCCTCCTGTCACTGAGTTAAACAGGAGGCTGCATGCAGCACCTGTCCATCTTGATTGCAGGTTTCTTAATCTGACTTTGCAAATTAAACCTTTGCCATTCAGAAACTGCTACTCTACAACAATTGCCATTTCTCATCATCAAAAAATATTTAAAGTAGAAGTGCACGAAAATAACATTGAGACCGAAAATAGAAAAAAAAATTGTCAGGCCAAAAACAAAACTGACTTTTTTCCAACCCTTTTAAAAAAAAATGTTAAAATTATTTTTATATTTACTTTTCTTTTTTTACTTTACTGTTGGGTCTGTAGGGAAATATCAGGGGTCTAAACAGATCCCTGATATTTCCCTTTTAAAATACAAAGAGATTGAGGACAATTTCTGCAGCCTGTTATGAATCAACAGGAAGCCTCTACAGTGAGTTAATTTATACATTGTGGATATAGTATAACTTACAATGTCCACAATCATGAATGAACAGGAAGTGATGTCGATCCCTTACCATTCATATCCAGGACATAGTAAGCACACCATGTCCAGTTATTTACAAACACTCACTGTTGAGCTGATCGGCGAGTGTTTGTATGCTGCTCTCCATCCTGAATGGGCTGTCACAGGAGGTGGGGCGGGTGGAGGGGGAGGAGAGTTCCGCCTCCTGTGGCAGATCACAGTTCACTCCTCCAATCACCACTCTCCTTCCTGACACAGGAGGCAAAGTCAAGAGGTTCGGGAGGAGAGCTCCGCCGCCTGCAGATGACAGCTGTCGCCATCCACACTGCTCGGCATCCTGACACAGGAGGCGGGTGCGGGAGGAAGATGACAGCGGTCACTGCCCGCAGTGTTTGGGATCCAGACATTGCTTTTACCACCACTCTGCCTCCTGAAAGCTTATCTCCTCCCCGCTGGGCAGTGGACACTGCATCAGAAATCACACAGACCGGCGGCCCGGCGGTGAGGAGAGAAGCTAGGGATACACTGAATTTTCAACCATCATGGCATATTCAGCATGTTGCCAAAAGTGCCATTTTGAGCCGAAATGTTTCAGCGGCCGAAATCTTGGTGCATGCCTAATTTAAAGATGCAGTATCAATTTAAATATCGGACAACTATGAAGCAACTTTAAGCACTTCAAGCAACCAAATTATTTTAAATGTTTTTCCTTTTTCTGGTACCTGCCATCTCTAAAAAATGACTGATGTAAATGACATAAAAGGCATAAGTTTATAAAACATTTAACAAACATATAGAGCCAAAAAAAGGTTTGAGAGTTTAGCTGTTTGATAATAAAACCATACCTGTATCCTTGTCCTTGGCTTTGTAAACTTGTCCATATGTACCTTCACCAATAATACCAATGATATCAAACTTATCCACACAGCGTTTACCCCAGTCAATTTCGGTCTGCTTCCTCTCACCATAACGGGGACAGCATATTCTGAAAGATGGGGGAAATACATGCACTGTTAGATGTGATTGTGACATTTTTTAGGAACTTAGGTACAGGGATCTTCATGGAGTTCCAAAGATTTTTAAAAGCTTTAGGAAAGCTCAACTGGCTAGAATCGCTGAAAAACTGAAATAAGTGCTCATAGACTGACCATAATAATACTACTACATTTAGATTTCAAACTATGGCTAAACCACTGATCAAGGATGACAGCAGCCATCAATTTGACAGCAGAGCCTTTGAATCAGTTTTGTGAAAGCCTGCTATCCCGTGGTAATAAGCTGAATTAACCTGGATAAATTAATTCTATTCAGAAGAAACTTCTATAATTAGGATAAATATATAAGTATAAGCTACATTTGCCACAGTCTTGTAATTCATTAATGTGTATGTATATACAAAATGTTTAGTGCAAAGAGTAGAGAATAGTTCAAACTTGAGTTAAATGTTTAATTGCTGCTCATGTCCCTGCTAAGTAGATTAACCCTCTCTATTTGTCCTGATGACCGTTGTCACAGAGAATGTGATGAGAAATCCAAAATGTTACAGTTGTTACCAGTACAAGAGGTAAGTGTTAACCTTCCAATGAGGACACCTGTCCTGGTAATAACTATCCAAGAAGGGGAATCCCCTTCATTTTCTAGTGATCTGCTCTCACTTGTGTCTCTGGGAAATCTCTGCCAACAGGACACAGAGGAAAATATTACACTTACGTGGGTCTTAACGCTTCCCTCACCACCCCACGCACATACGGAATGCAACTGTGCATGTAAATGTTGATTATACAACACACAGGTATCTCTGAACACACAAGAGTGAGATATTTAACCTAGAGCCATTATTTACAGGATAACGCTAAACTGATGAATTATAAAAGGTTTTTGGTTATGACAGTTATGGTAAAATTTTGGTTATGGTAGTTTTTTTTACCATTTTAAAAAGGTCCAAGCAGTTTTAAGGCATCTGATATACGAGATATTTATTTACTTGAGTCTTCCTTTAATCTACAATAAATTGGAATGCATATTGTGAACATGAAAATGAATGTTAGAGAACTATGCCCAACTTTTTTTGGCTGTAGTTCTCTTTAGGGTCACAGGGGGACATATGCTAATGTCCTCCTGTGACCTAAAACTCGCACAGAGCCACGCTTCGGCCGGGAAAGATCCCAACAATATTTTCAGGATCCACCCTGCTGCCTGATTGACAGCTCTAGAGAGGCAGTGCCAGCTGTGCCCACCCCCTCCACCATCTGTACCTCCAGTTAGTGCTGGAGGAATGCAGAGGGGAGGGGGAATCCCTGAGGGGAGGAATGACTGACAGTCATCGCTCTCTGCAGGGAGAAGATCGCGAGCTGAGTGATTAGCGGTGTGATCGCTCAGTTCTCAATCTATAGAGCCGACATGTGACAGCAGCAGTGTCACACCTCGGCTCGAATTATGGGGATGGGGAGTGTAATTCAGTCTCCCCATAATTCTTCTTTAATGTAATTTTACTGAAAATATCGTTTTGTTATTTGTGCAAACACAGAATGACAAAAAAAAATGCAACTCCCATTTTATTTTACAGGTCAGAAAATATATATTATATTAGGTAATTATAAGAAATAGTTTTACACTACAAATTAGCATTTTAGAATTGGTGTAAAAATTGGTTCAGCAGAAAAAGGGTTAAGCAAATGATGCATGACAGGATCCATAGATAAAATTGTGGCATTTACCAGCAAACCAGATTTATATTTATCCTATATCAAAGTGCAGAGGCGCTTTGTGACACAGCATCAATCTCTACACAAACAGGAAGGCAAACCTAACATATGAAGCCAAGTGGAGATATCATGCAGTAACCATTGAGATTTTTGGAGGTACCTAGTAACAATAGTTCAGCTAGCACACCAAACATTTACCAATAAAAAGGAAACACAAAAACTTACTTTGGTCTCTTCCTTACAGATGGCTGTGGAGGTGTTGCTACTTTGGGTTCTGGAGACTCAGGAGGAGATGGGTCTCCTCCTAGAAGCTCAGGAGGTAATGGAAGGTCAGTCAGGAGATGCCTCGGTCTCTGCTCTTTATTTTTCTTAACTGGTTTGTGGGGGATAATTTCCATAGTACTGTGAATAGAAAAAAAAAAAGTCATTAAGAAAACAGGATATATGACCGATTCTGTGAATATGCTACAGAAATTAAGATGCACAAGGCAAAATGAAAAATCCCCTTTTCATATGAAAGAATGACATATGCCATTCTTCTTGCATCCAACAGCGCACAATACTATTAAGATGGCCACAAACAGTAATACTTTCTTTGTTCAACCTGCGGGCTGAATGAAGAAAATATAACAGATTCCCCCATCAACACTTACGAGCGTTGATCGAGGAATCTCCCACGGGTCATTGGCTACCGGCTCTGTTTGTTCGAATGTTTTTCAGCCGATCAAGGGATGCCGGCTGAAAGGGTGCCGACAGGGGCACCCACTGTGCAAATCTCGGCTGGTTGATCAAGAACCGGATAAAATTTGCACAGTGTATGGGCACCTTACGTTGTTTACTGCTGCCTCTCATACCTCGCAGCTCTAGCAATCCCTATGTAGAAGATGTGAAACGTTTCTTCACGAAAAAAGGACTTGGGAAGTCGGACCCACAATGTCTGCCCGTAGATAATGGGGTTGACTTACCAAGGGAGTAGAGGCTGTTCACTTTGAAAATCATATGCTTACTATGAAAAACGAATGATAG